GATCCTGATAGTTTCTCTGCAGTTTCTCATAGTTATCTTTGAGCTGGCTGAGCTCATTGAGCTTCCTTAGAACCATTGTTTTAAATTCCATATCTGATAGTTCCCTTGCCTCTATTTCATTGAGCTCTCTCTGTGGGGAGTCCCCTTTTCCACTCATTTGGGGGGAACTTCTTTTTCTTCCCATTTTTGTGAGAGTCTGTTAAGTATTTTTGTCCTTTACTTTTCTTTCTGGGCTTGCCTCTGATGATGTCAGTTGTTGACCCTATAGGGCCTTGGGTTGTTTGTTTGAGCCTTTCAGGAGTCTAATGCCTGTGTCTGACTCCTGCTTGGAGCAGCTCTGTGACCCCTTTGGTCAGGGCTGGGCTATTTTTTGGGATCTCTCTGCGCTCTCACGAGAGCTCCTTGAGCGCATTCCCAGCGCGGCAGGGTCCCCCACCTGCCTGGGCTCGCATGTGTTTGCCCCAGACCAGGGGGCTTATTCGCGACCTCCCGTGCTCATCTGGCCTCCCTGGCACGCGAGCTTCGCGGCACTGGTCAGTTTAGGGTCTTCTATTGTGTGTTTTCCCCGCTTTTGGCTCTTTGGGTGCGTTGCTTGCCCTCGCCAAATGGGGACTACGGAAATGGGAGGAAATCAGTTCTAGGACTCTCCGGTTAATCCTGTTTCTGGTCTCTCCTCCAGGGACTCTGGGCAGCTCTACTTATTTTGTGGGCTGCTCCGCAATCGCGGCGGGTAGGTCAGTTTACGCCTGCCCTTGCCCCTCTGTGCACTCCCTCGCAGGCCGTATGGGTGCCAGTCTGTGTGAGGCCTTGCCGGTAGGTCCAAGCGTTCGCCAGCCCGCGTGGGTCACACACACGCTCGCCAACCCTCGCCAGTCACTCGGCGCAAGTGTGCGCGCCTGCTCTGGGTGTTTTGGGGGTGTCTATGTTTGCTTTTCGGCTTTTGGCTCTTTGGGGGTGTGGCCTCTTCCCCGTGCAATGGAGACTACGGCAAGGAGAAGGAGTCGGGACTCCCCGGTTCCTCCTCCCGTTCTTTCCCCAATGCCTCCATTTCTAGTCTCCCCTCAGGGGCCTCTGGGCAGTTCTGTGACCCCTTCGGCTGAGGATCGAACCCCTGTGCGGACTGCGTTTCAATCGCAGGCAGTCTGGTTCATGCACGCCCCGCTTCTGCCTCTTTGGGGTCGCGCCTTTCCAGCCCACAATGGAGACTACCGAACGGGGAGGGAGTCGGGACTCCCCGGTTCCTCCTCCCGTTCTTTCCCCAACGCCTCTGTCTCCAGTCTCTCCTCAAGGCTCTCCCAGCCAGTCTGCACTCAGCCCCGTAGCTCAGGCGTGTACAAGCTGTGTGCGGAGCGCACAAAAGGCAGGTTAATTGATTCCCTTTTGCCTGAGCGAGATGGTAGCTGCAGAGTGGGAAGTGCGTTATCACCCGGGCTCCACCAGCCGCAGTGTCAGTTCTCTTCACAAAGTTTTCCTCACCGGTCTTTTTCCAGGCGCCAGCCCACCCTGCTGCCGCCTGTACCCAGCGATCAAGGAGGGTGGCTGCCGCTGCAACTTTTGCGTTTGCCCTTTAAATGTCTTTTTGCATCCCCAGCTACCTGTCTCTGGCAGAGAGCGCCCCTAAGCTTTTTGGGGTTGCGTTTTGTCTGTATTTTCTCGGCTTTAGCTGCTGTAGTTTAGGGGTTCCTGTTTATGATTCAGACCCCTTTCTTCTCGGGGGGACGCTAACTGGCTGTTTCAATGTCCCTCTGGTGCCAGTGCCCGTGCGCACCCAGTCCACCCTCTCGAGCCTCCACCGCAATTCTCACCCGTTGGGATGTGTGAGAGTCGAATCCACTGTCCGCGGCACCAAGGCTCCTCTCCCACTATCGCTCCACTGCTTTCCAGGTGATTACTCCATTATTTAGTTGCAATTCCAGTTTGGTTTTGGGAGGAGGTCAGCGTGACTCCCTTTCACTCCTCCACCATCTTTTCTCCTAACACCGCAAGCAACATTCTTAAGAGACATCTTTATTGTAAGCTTTTTAAAAACCGTTCTCTACAGTCCCTGCCTGAGTAAGCTCAGTTGGTTAAATCATCATCCCAATACATCGAGGTTGTGGGTTCTATCCCTGGTCAGGGCACATACAAGAATCAATCAGTGAATGCATGAGTAAATGGAACAACAAATTGATGTTTCTCTCAAAAGACTTCAAATGAAAAAAACAAAAACAAAAACAGTTCTCTACATGCATTTCAGAATGGGTATAACTTCCACACACTAGTATAACACTGTTATCATCGTAGTTAGCAATCAGCATTCTTAGAGACGTCTTTATTTCAAGTGTTCTTATATACTTCTCTACATGCATTGCAGAATGGGTATAACTTCCATTCACTGATAAAACACTGTACTTATACTAGCTAGCAAGTAGCCAGAACAAACTATTGATGCAGTTATATGGATGAATCTCAAAATTATGCTAATTGAAAGAAACCAGACACAAGGACCATATACTGTATAATTTTATTCATATGCAATTCTATAAAAGGCAAAATTTGTAATGATTAATGCAGATCACTGATTGCCAAGGGCCAAACGGTGGTGGGAAAGGATTGACTGCAGAGGCATAACAGATTTTTTCCTGACGGCGGAATGTTTCTAAGTCATGATTATAGTAGCAATTACTTCAGTAAAGCTATTAAATTTGAAAAAAAAGAAAAAGAAAAACAGGCGAGAGACATATTTCTTGGTCCCCTCATCTTTGCCAAGCTCTTTGTTCCTCAGGTCCATCTCACCCTGTTAACCTGGAACTCTCTGCCAACTCTTGCTTTAGCCTTTCCTACTTAGTCCCTTTCAGCCTGGTTGTGTTCTCTTAGACTTTTTTCCTGTGACTGAGTATTACTGAAAAACAGCTGTTTAGGGGCCTATTTTCTGAGCCAAGTTCTCTGCGTCTTCCATTCTAGTAAATTAATCCATGTTAATATATGAAAGTCCAAGTCTTAGAGAAAGGCCTTGTCTGAACACACAGGCAGAATAGTCATTGTTCATATGCCATAAGTTTTTTTAAGAGTCTAGAAAGCTTCCTTTTCCAAAAATAGCTTTCTCTCTCCTTCATATAATGTAGGAAAATAGAATAAAGAATCTGTATTTTAAAATAGTCCACAGGTGACTTTAATGATCACTCAGTCATGGAAACTACTGGATAAGGCACTTTTCACCCCATCTTTTGAAGAAGTAAAATAAAATCAAATATCATTACTCAGATTTCACTAAGGTGTATATATGTAGGTTTCATTAAAAAAATCTTTGCAGGAGACTTTTCCCATATGGCACTATCTACTGTTTTTTATTACCTCACTTGGTCTTTTTTACATCTCTTAAGGAAAACAGGTAGGATTAGGGAACTAGTTTCATTAAGAGCTCACTGTGTGCCAGATACTTTACAAGGGCTCACATTTAATCCTCAGAGGTAATAAAAATAAGGTTCAGATGGTAAGTAAGTTGCTCAAGGACATAACTAGTGATTAGCAAGAGTGAGTTCTGTATGCTTCACTTTATTATTATTTTTTTATTTTATTTTAATTTATTTTTTCAAATACATTTGTCTCTGCCTACCCCCCACCACTTTCCCTTGCCCCCTCTCTCCTTCCCTCCCTCAGGTCTTCCCCTTTGGTTTTGTCCATGAGTCCTTGCTATATGTTCCTTGACTTTCCCCTTCCCTTCCTTTTCCCCGCCCCCCCCTCCCTCCTTCCCTCTTGTCTCTGTTGATTTCTTTTCCTTTCAGTGTTGCTGGTGTATGCTTCACTTTAAAATATGTGTTTTCCTTTATGCTGTGCTATCTCTAAACTGATGGAACAAATAAGGAGCTATCCCTATCATTTCAGCTGGCCCATTTGCTCCTCAACTTCTCTTGTGTATCCCTGAACACAAGCAGAAATAGAAAAGCTACTAGCACATCACATATCTCTATTTTAACAAAATTCTGACCGTCTTTTCTTAATTAGAAGGTTTTTTAGTGGTTTGAGTCACTTTAGTGTTTTAGTGGTTTGCCTCATGCAAATGGAATAACTGGTGGTTTTTACTAATTGACTTATACCACAAACTAATTAGTAACCATCTTTAACTTTGATCAATTACAAACTGACTTCTAATACATAACCTTGAGTTATTTAGAGAAATCTTATTTATACTGGAAGATTATTTTGCCCCTAAAACATCAGTCTCTGACCTCAGTTTCCTTTTCTATAAAATGATGGGGTTAGTGTAAATTATTTCTGTTTCCATTTGTCTTTAACATTATGTGACTATAAATCAGTTATTTAGGACACATTTACATAGACATTATTAGATTGGATATCAGGTTTCCTAAAATATAATCCAAATAGAACTTTATTCAGCTATGTCAAATGGCAATTTATGATACAGTTTATAATATAGTTCTGAAGTGATTTTTAAAATTTTTTTAAAGAATTTATTTATTTTTAAAGGGAAGGGAAGGGATATAGAATGAGAGGGAAAGAAATATTGATTGGTTGCCTGTTTCACTCCCGCAGTGGCCTGCAACCCAGGCACATACCCTGACAAGGAATTAAACCAGTGACCTTTCTGCTTGCAGGCTGGCACTTACTCCATTGAGCCATACCAGCCAGGGCTGTGATATGATTCTTGCTCTTTTCTCTACCCATCCTCCAGCAGCTTGTGGAGATGAGGACAAAGGGCTCTGTTAAAGAGATTGAATAAAACCTTCTGCACACAGTCTACTTATGCTTGCCTCTTACTGCAGTAAATACAGCATATCTGGTACTCGCACAATATCATGTTTAGTTCTCCTGTGGGAACAAATCAAGCCAAATCAGTCGGTCCATTTGCAGTTGTTATATAAAACTTAATAAATATTTTTGGCCAGAATTTGAAAACTTTATTTGATAACTTTTAACACTTGGTAACGGTGTCTTATAATGAAATCAGAAATTATTGATCTAAGGTCTTAACAGAGATAACTTTGGAAAATACCTTCTAGGCAGCTGAGATTCTCCTGCAACATGGAGCAAACCCTAATCAAAAGAATAAAAAACAGAAGACTGCTTTAGATGAAGCAGATGATGAAAAAATGAAAGAGCTGCTAAAATCTTACGGTGCTATTGAGACTGATAATAGAGATGAGAATAATGCTATAGCCTCTGGTATGTATGTCAATATCGCTTACTGTTTTATATAGGTGTATACCTCTGCTCAGAAAATAAAATCTTTATATTTGTAGTATAAATTGTTTTATAACTCAGGATGGATGTTTGTATATTTATTAAACTCTTGAAAAAATATTTACCTTTAGAAAGTAAAATTTCTAAACATGGTTTAATTTATAAATTATATGATCATATTTGATTTGGAGTTACATGTTGAAATAAAACCCATTCCATTCATTAAACAAACACTAATCATCCTAACATTGGGTCTGACAGATATATAACTAAAACTACACAGACTGGTTCACTTGTAGTGAGGATAGAAAAGAGTATACTACTAAACAATCTGCAACTAAGATAGTGAAAAAATATTTCAAGGTAATGTACAGCCAGGCAAAATTTTATGAAACATTTTTCAGCAGTGGTTAGAATTTAAATAATATAAGGAATTGCCAAGGATAATCATTGTGCCATGTTTTACTAGTAAGCTAAATCATGTGTAGGTCAAGGTCAAAACTGATAGATAGTTCCTCTTTTTATTGCCTGCTACTATATAGTAAGTCCATATGGTCAGGGTCATTTTTAGATCCCCCATCCATATCTCTCCACAGCCATATCTGAAGGTTCAGGCCCCATGATTTACTTGTATATCATCTTAGCTTTAGAGAAGCTTTCCATTTGAAGTTCCTAGGGACTCTGTTATGAAGTACTGTATCTATTTCCACTTGTCTTTTGTTTCTTGTGTACGTATTTCCTTGGTCAGGTAACCCCAAAGGGATGAGGAGTATCGGATACAATAGTTATCTGGAGAAAGGGAATCCAGAATGGGCGAAGGGTCATAGAGAACTTCACAATAAATCATAGTCATAGTGATTAAGAGCATAGACTTTGGGATCAAATCGGGTTTCAGTACTCACTGTGTGACAATTAGGCAACCTCATGAATCCCTCTAAGGTTCACTTTCCTCTTTTGTAAAATGGATATAATAAACTACCTATTTCACAGGGTCCATATGAAGATTAAATAAGATGATTCAGGGAAAGTGTTTGATATCCAGCATGTGATAAATATTCAGCAAATGTTAGCTGTAATTAGTCAATTGATAATAAATACTGAAGTGTTGCCAAAATTAAGATATTTCAATACTTGTACACTTAATTTATCCATTCCTATCACCATCATAATTGATAAAATGAAGCTGAATGTTTGCACATTCTTACTGTATTTTCTAATTTTACTTCTTAAAGTCAAAATTGCTACTGTCCAGGCCAAAAGACACAAATCATGTTCCTGTGATGACTTAAAAACTGTTCATCCACCTTCTCTTTCACACCAAGAAAAAACAAGAGAAAACCTTCCTATGGTGAGTGAAGTTGAAATCCTTCGTTCTCCAGCCTAGAAAGTACCATTCTTTGGGCCAGCCAGACCTTGGTTGTTGGCAGCAGTCTTTTCATTCTAAGGACATGCAGGTTGAAAATGTTTTTTATCATTAAAAAAAATAGCATAATTGAATAGAATGAGTCACGAAGATACGTTGTATGGTTAATTCTCATTATCTGCATTGATTAAGAATTATAGATTAGCTGCTGTCTTTTACACCTAGGTTTGGTTCTTTGGCTGCTTTTTGTCCCACATACACTGCTGTTTCCACTGTAATAATGTGTCTTCACTCACTCACTTACTGAAAGTTTCTAGGATACATACGAGGTAGAAAAGACTGTGAAACTCGGAAACACAGACAGAAGAGAGGACAGCAATCTGGTTTAGCTATCCTGAATCCCACATGGTTTATAGTGATAGACTGTGTTTGCTGTATATGAAACCCTTCAATAAAGGTATACTTTTGCAAAAATAACAGTAGTTGCTCAATAAAATATATATTAATTGATAAGATATATATCCTTAATTTGACAAAAACACAAAACAACTAGACCTAACTACTCATTTCTTAAGCAAAGTGGTACCCTCAGTGAAACATTCTTTTGATTAAGACTACGTATGTTGATTGCATTTCTCTTACATACTTTCTGTTATTGAAGAGAGGGAAGATGTTGTTCATTGAAAGCAGATTGTGATTAATCATCTAATTTATACTTTAAATGTATTAAATGGTATTCAAGCTAAATTGCATTTGCCTCAGCACTTTGAAAATATTTTGTATTGTTTCCTGGTATCTATTGTAATAGATCAAAAAAGTCAACTGTCAACCAAATTGTCAATTCTTTGTAGGTAATCTGTCTTTTAATCTTTCAGTTTTAAAGATTTTTCTCTTATTCTTTTATGTTCTATAGTTTCACTAGGTTATGTCTAAACATGGATGTGTTTTTATTGATTATGCTCAGGAATAAACATGCTCCTTTAATATGAAAGCATTTCTCACTTGTATTCTGGAACCTCTCAGTCATTATATTATATCTTTGAATATTGCCTTTCCTCTATTCTCAGTATTCTCTTTTTAGAACTATTTAGGTGTCTGTTAGACTCACCTCCATGTGTCCTAATACATTTTTCATATTCTCTACCACTTCAACTCTACATATGATATTCTGGGTGATTTCCTTTGATTTCTCTTCCAATTCATTATTTTTCTCCTAAATCTTTTTAACCTCTTCAACCTGTACATTCCCTCTTTCATTTAATGACTGTTTTTATTTCCAGAAATTGTACCCTTTTCAAATTTTTGTTTAAAAAAGAAAACAAAACAAAGAACTTTTCTGCTCTTGCCTTACAATATTGATAGCACTAAAAAAAATCCTTCTAAACACTTTAGCAGGAATTTTAAACTCTCCACCAGACTCTTTTTCATGATAACATGATTCTTCACGTGGTTTGCAATTTTTTTATTATAATCTCATTTTAGTGATTGTTGTTTGCTCTGGGAATTTTGGTGAGTTTGGGCTTCCTGTTTAGCATTTGCCTCTGTTGGGGCCTTAGAGGTTTGTCAGTTGCACATCAATTTTTATGCTAATTTCTCAGTTTGGGCTTCTGAACCACACATTCTATAAATTTAGTCCTCATATACATGTGTGGCAAAAGTAGGTCTCTTCTACCTAAAGGCCTGGATGGGTGACAAGTAGAGTTTTTCTAATCCTTATCTAATCTAAAGTGCACCCACTCTGGGCCTCTAGCAGCATGCAGGAACTCCATTATATATCCCTCCTCATGCAGGTTTGAGGCCTTAATCTCCTGCTCCTCTATGGGCATTGAAAACCTAGCCCCTAATATCTGTGTTTGTTCCAAATTCCCCATGGGCCACTGCTAGCTTAGTTTCTGGCACCAGAGAGTTTCCCTTTCTTTTTCTGTGTTTGGGGGTGGGGGGTGGGGGGGTGGGGTGTGTGTGTGTGTGTGTGTGTGTGTGTGTGTGTGTGTGTCCAGAGAGTTTCCCTTTCTTTTTCTGTGTTTGGGGGTGGGGGGTGGGGGTGGTGGTGTGTGTGTGTGTGTCCAAAGAGTTTCCCTTTCTTTTTCTGTGTTTAGCTGTGTGTGTGTGTGTGTGTGTGTAATGCTTATTGTGTGTGTGTGTGTGTGTGTGACGCTTATGGTATTTTGTCCAGTGTTTCCATGTGTTTGTAGTAGGTCCTTCTCTATCAGCTCAGTCCACCATATTGTATCCTACAGGTATATTTTCATATAAAGATTAGAACATTATGAAAAACCACTCTATTGTTACTAAATCTATGGGTATTTGCTTTAGGAATGATGCATATATCATGTTAGATGCCTAGCCTTGGAGAATATGTAATGGAGTTATAAGAGTCCAAGGAAAACCAACTTTACAAAAAATAAAAAGAAAATTGAAAAGAAATATGAGGACTTCAAATATAAAATTGATTTTGAATATTAGAAATTTCAAGCCAAATTGGGAGTGAAGAGTAAGTCTGTGGCCACATACAAAGGAAATGAGATGATTTTAGTTTGGTGCTACCTTCATATTGCAGCATATAGAGAGCCTCCTTCTCTATTCCATATTTTAAAAGTACAGAAATAATAATTAGCATTCACTAAGTACTTACCATATGACAAGCTGCCCTCTAACTACTATCTTAATGCATTTAGTCCTCATAATAACCCTTCTAGGTAGGTTCTATTATTATCATTACTTTCCTCATTATAGATGAGGAAGCTAAAGTAAAAGAGGTTAAATAACTTAATCCAAAATTACATTTCTATTAAGTACCAATGCCAGAATTAAACTCCAGGCAATTTGGCTCCAGAGCCTGTATTTTTTACCACTGTGCAATATTGTACAAACTTTAAAGGAGGTATCAGAGGCAAAGGTGACTTGGCCATAGTAAAAATAGCATATTTGGAATAAAATCATAGTGAAGTTTCATAGTAAGGAGAATATAAACTGTGTAAAACTGCTTGTTCCAGAGATACATCCTAGGTTAGGGGTTTTTTTTTTTTTTGCTGTTGTTTGAAGATACTCAGGCAGTAATGAAGGTAGAATATGGAGCTGGTGTGGAGTGAAAGCTTATGGCCAGTGGTGGCTAAAACTATACACATCCACAATATAAGTCAAAACAGTAAAGAAAGTCAGCATTGGAAGTCGTCTTCTTTATCCAAACTTGTAGGTAGAGGCTTAGCCTGGGCCCAAATTCAGACCTTTAGTTTGCTTTTATAACGTAGCCACTCATTGTAAAAAGAAATAAATATCATTGTTTATTTGTTTTGCATATGTACATTTTATAGTTTCATTTTGATTCATTTTATAAATGACAGCAACGAGATTGCTTTTCCACATAATTGGATGGTTTTATTTGTGCATTTTCCATATCCCTTCTGGGCATCAAAGTAAAATCTCAGAATAATATACTTAGAAGGCTTTGAGGACCTACACATTTTAAAAATGAATGTGTACTGAGAATATATTAAAGGATAGATATATGAGTCAACCCATCAGTTGTCATCTATTGAGCAACAACTACACATCCAACAGTGTGGAGACCACATTTGAATATAAAAATCATGCTCCTGCCAACAAGATATCATTATCTTGATGAAGAAATATACTATATAAGGCATACATATTAATACTAAATTCTGTAGCACTGAAATTCTTAAGTAATTCTGAGAAAGGAAAAATCAGTATGAATTAGATTACTAAGAGGTTTTGTGTATGAGATGGATGTTATATGATAATAAGCAGTACCTGGCTGGTGTTGCTGAGTGGATTGAGTGCTAGCCTGCAAACCAAAGGGCCGCTGGTTCAATTACCAGTCAGGGCACGTGCCTGGGTTGCAGGCCAAGTCCCCAGTAGGGGGCCACACGAGAGGTAATCACCCATTGATGTTTCTCTCCCTCTCTCTCTTTCCCTCTCTAAAAATAAATAAATAAATAAATAAATAAATAAAATAATAAGCAGTATTTATTGAGCTCTAACTTTGTGCTTACACTGTCCTAACCATTTTACATGTGTTACTCAATTCAAACAATGAGAATAAGTGACCTGTTGGAGTTACTAACCAGGAAGAAATGAAGTAAGAATCCACACCCTGGCAGTCTGGTTCAAGAGTTCACTTTATAATTTCATCTCTCATAAGAAAGAGAGGGATCTGGGCAGAATAAATTGAAGATGTTCCAGGAAGGAAGATTAATACTGACAGGATATAAAGATATGCTCTTAAATCTCATTTGTGAGTTTTTGAGAGTAGTGTTTTGTATTTCTAATATTATGTGTAACATTTGAATAGTGTGCAATAATAGTCATAAAGCCTTAAAGTCAATTTGTTGTATATATGTTATCTTTAAATATATGCCGAGTTGTTTGGTTTTCTCCTACATCTATAACAGAAGTCAGTGAAAAACTATGATTCTATTTTTCAAAAATAGATCTACTTAAATCAAGATATATTTAAGTATTTTCCCCTCAGATATGCAATATTTATACAGTTAAAATTAAACAAAGCATGAGTACATTTTGAACATAAATGAGTATTTTTTTAAATTTAAATTATATTTTATTGTTTATGCTATTACAGGTGTCCCAATTTTCCCCCTTTGCACTCCTCCACTCAGACCCCCCTCCCTCAGGTAATCCCCACATTGTTGTCCATGTCCATAGGTCATGCCATATATATTCTTTTTGTTGTGTTTTTTAGTTTTTACTTCATAATCATAAATCTAACTCTGCAATCCAGCTAGATTTGGAAGGCGTAAGGAAAACATGGAACCCAATAAACTCTGACAAGAGCACAAAGATTAATACAACATTCCAAGCAGATGAGGGTGAAGGGGTGCTCTCCTGAGCTAGAGAAGGAATGTTCTGGTGTTAAGATAAAACACAAGTCAAATTTATTAGAATTGTCCTCAGTCAGTAATGGGATCTTCCTGTTGGTCTTGCCATTCCTGGACCCATAGCACTACATGGCTGTCACAACATCCATGCCGTCTTTCACCTGCTTGTCACCCAGCCACTCAGCCTTGGCAGTACAGATAAAAAACTGGGAACTGTCTGTGTTGGATCTAACATTTGCCGTGGACAAGATGCCAGGATATGTGTGCTTCAGGATGAAATTCTCATCATCAAATTTCTCCCCACAGATGGACTTGCCATCTGTGCCACTGTGGGGTATGAGGTTACTACCCGGGCACATAAGCCCGGGAATAATTCTGTGAAAGCAGGAACCTTTGTAACCAAAGCCTTTCTCCCCAGTGCTCAGAGCATGAAAGTTTTCTGCTGTCTTTGGAACTTTGTCTGCAAACAACTCAAAGGAGACAGCCCAAGGGCTGGCCGTAAGCAGCAATGTCGAAGAATATGGTCTTGGGAATATGAGCTTGGGAAGATCTGAGGCAGCAATGGCGTCTGCAAGGCTGCCATATATATATTCTTTGGCTACTATATTCCCTATGCTGTACTTTACATGCCCATAACTATTCTGTAACAAGCAATTTGTGCTTTTTAATACCTTCACCTTTTTTTGCCCATCCCCCTACCTCCACTCCCATCATGCAACCATCAAAATGTTCTCTGTTCAATGATTCTGTTTCTGTTTTGCTTCTTATTTATTTTGTTTTTTAGATTCAATTATTGATCTTATTGCAATTTTATTGTTCATATTTTTGATCTTTCTTTTAAAGAAGACCCTTTAACATTTCATATAATACCTGTTTGGTGGTGATGAACTCCTTTAGCTTCTTCTTGTCTGGGAAGCTCTTATCTGTTCTTCAATTCTGAATGATAGCTTTGCTGGGTAGAGTAATCTTGATTGTAGGTCTTTGCTTTTCATCACTTTGAATATTTTTTGCCTTTTCCTTCTAGCCTGCAAAGTTTCTTATGAGAAATCAGCTGACAATATTATGGGAGCTTCCTTGTAGGTCACTAACTCCTTTTCCCTTGCTACTGTTAAGATTTTCTTTTTGTCTGTAACCATTGGCATTTTCATTATGATGTGTCTTGGTGTGGGCCTCTTTCGGTTCATCTTGTTTGGGACTTTCTGTGCTTCCTGGGCTTGTATGTCTATTTCTTTCACCAAGTTCGGAAAATTTTCTGTCATTTTTTTCAAGTAGGTTTCCAATTTATTGCTCTCTCTCTTTTCCTTCTGGCACCCCCATGATGCAAATGTCAGTATGCTTGAAGTTGTACCAGAGGCTCCTTATCTATGCTCATTTTTTTTTTTTTTTGGATTCCTTGCTCTTCTTACTTATCCTATTGGTTGATTTTTGCTTCCTTATGTTCCAAATTGCTGATTTGATTTTCAGCTCATCCACTCTCCTATTGATTCCTTGTAAATTATTCTCCATTTCAGTTAGTGTATCCTTCATTTCTGACTGGTTATTTTTTATGGTTTCCATATCCTTTTTCATGCTGCTGAAGTTCTCTCTGATTTCATCTACTTTTCCCCTAAATTCTCTGACCATCTGGCATAAGCTACAAAGCAGTCTTCAGATGGCTGCTACTTGTACTGGGTTTAGAGGTGCCAAAACGAGGCCAAGCTGTGAACCAAGGTCAGCTGCTGCTAATTCTGGGCCTGGGGCCACTTAGCAAGAGGTGTGAGGCTCACTGAGGCCAGATGTTGCTTGTTTGAGAGAATTGAGGAAAATGTGAAGCATGAGCAAAGAGAAGCCATTCATATTGAGAAGCCCCAGGAAACAGCTTGGGTGTGCCTGAAAACTGGGTGGGGTGGAGCCTCAGGGAATCACCATGGTGGCGCAAACAGTGTGAGCCAGGTTGATGGCGTCTCTGATATGGCACCCACCTGTCAGCTCTGTGGGGGGAGGGCTCAGAAAAGGTACTCCGGGGTACTCAGAAAAGGCCTCTGCCAGCACTTCTGTCTGAGAGGAAGCTGTCCTCCAGCTTTCACCATGATCTGAGACACTTCAGTTTCTCCGCGTATGCCTCTGGTGCCTGTCAAGCTGCTGCCCCAGTGCTGAAGCTCAGAGGAAGTGAATCGAGTAAATCCTTGCACAGGCCCTTTAAGAGGAACTGCCTGGGACTGCAGCAGTTTCTGTCTTCCACAGCCTCAATCCCCATGGGTTTTTATAACCAGAAGTTCTGGGGACTTATCTTCCTGGCACTGGAACCCTGGGCCCCTCACTCCCAAGATATCCCTCCTGATTTTTATCTACTACATATGGGTATGGGATCAGCCTGTTCTCTCCGCCCCTCCTACCAGTTTCGATGTGGTTTCTTCTTTAATTCCGTAGTTGTACGACTTCCATTCAGCTTGATTTCTGGCAGTATTGAATAATGGTGGCTTTGTAGTTTAGTTGTAATTTTGATGTGGTTGTGTAAGGAGGTGAGCATATTTGCCTACGCTGCCATCTTGACAGTGAAATTTCCATCCTTGTTTGGGAAGTGAGTATTTTTAATAGCACTTCCGCTGTGTATTTGTCAATTGCCTATCAGAAACATCTAATTTCTTGTAATGAAATTTTTAATATTTTTATTTGATAGCATCAGGCCATCAGTGCCATTTTACAAGATATAGAAGAAAAACAAGAAAATTTATTGGAGTTTGAAATAAGAACCCCCGAAGATGCAGGTAAATATGGATTCATACCCAAGTTTGAATCATTGCTACCTTAATTACAGTGGCTGAAAAAAGTAGCTTTTTTTTTTTTTTTTAATGTGAGAGTAAAGTGCCAGGAGTGTTCATTAGAAGTCAATGATGCAAACCAGTAGTTGATGTAATTTTGATAAAGATACCTAGATTCAAGGTATTGCATGAGTATACCTAGATTCAAGCTATAGCATGAGTAATTTGAGAGTTACTCAGAACCATGATCAGAATAAACTGCTGACTCTGGCTGGTGTGGCTCAGTTGGTTGGAACATTGTCCTGTAATGGAAAGGTTGTGAGTTTGATCTTCAGTCTCAGTGCATACGATTCCAAACCCAGGCATGTACAGGAGGCAATGAACTGATGTTTCTCTCTTACATCAATGTTATTTTCTCTCTCTCCCCTTCTCTCTCCCTTCCTCTCTCCCTGAAAAGCAATGAAAAAATGTCCTTGGGTGAGGATAAAAAAATTAAAAAGAATAAGCTACTATTGGTGATATGTTTATATGAAGATCAAAAGGCACAAGATAGTGATTAGAGTTAAGATTATGTTTCTTCTTGGCTTCTCAGCTTCACCCAGCTATGGTAACCCTTCACAAATTAGAAAAGGAATGGGTAGTAGTGACACAACAAAGCAAATCCTCATACCTTTCAAATGAGCAGGTATGTCTTACAGCATAGGTGCCTTTCTGTTTACAAAACACTAGTGATTCAAAATAGTAAATTAGACTAATTTCTGACCTAATTACCTTAATTTCTCAAAACTGCAGTAAATATTTGAAAACCTTTGATAGTTCACAGCTGTGTTTACTTTATAAAAACATTTTATTTATTTATTTTTAGAGAGAGAGAAAGGGAGGGAGAGAGGGAGAGAAACATCGATACACAAGAGAAACATCAATCAGTTGATTCTCACATGCCCTCAACCAGAGACCTGGCCAGGAATCAAACTGGAAACCTCTTTGTTTGCAGGATGATGCCCAGTCCACTGAGCAGCACCAGTCAGGGCACAGCTGTTTTCTTGAGTTATAATTTACAAGGTGGAAAGTAGCTCCTGATATATGCATATCTGAGTGTTAAAAGTAGTTAGCTAAAAATGATTTGAAGTACTACATCAATCTTCCATGTAGCAAGATACAACTGTTAGTTCATCTCTTGTCCTAATTCATGTTGTGAAGATTTTAAAAAATCATTTCCTTTTAAATTATATCCATTCTACTATTCCTACTGGCCTAACGTGTGGTGCATATTATGTTTTGAGGAAAATAATCCAAAATAATTTATACCCCCCCCAAATACGATGATTCATATATTTTATTTAGTATTTACAGTATCTTATACAGCTATCTGATTTCAGGTAGAAGCCCTCATAGGCAGGATCATAGGACAGGCTCCACATCAAGTCTTCAGGATCCTAGCATACTGGACCCACTTTTGGAAGGGAGGACAGTTCCAACAGAGCAGCAGCTTTCTCTGCCCTGCTGTGCAAGCTCCTTGCTCTTCAGAGTCTCAGCCTCTAGGTGTTCGAGGAGAAAGCCAGATATGAGTCCATTATCACCTCAACTAAAAGTTGTTATGCTCTCAACAATTCTTTGAGAAATTGCTCCCATTAGACTTGAAATATAGGGGAGAAACCCCCACACCTCTCACTTTTGCTGTTCAGGATGGAGATTCCCGCCCCCCCCGCCCCACCCCAGTGAAACAACAGCTTTCTAAAGACGTATCTTTGCAAATTCTCTACCTTCATAGTTTGAATAGTTTATATCTTCGATCTGGCTGAGGGGGTCCAAGAGTAATGAATCCCATTTTTTTACATTTCTTTGTAAATTTTTCTTCTAGATGTCTTGCATTCACTTTTGTATCAAAAAATCTTTAGTGCCTCAACTGAGCAGAAAAAGGATCATTTAAAAAATTTTATGTTATTTTTTTTCCTGAGCATTTTAAGTATATGCTTCATCTAAAATCTCTTTTCCATGTGTGGTATTAAATAAGGATAGAATGGGGTTCCTCCCAAAGGATTTTCCTGCATTTTGCTACTCTTATTTGTTGAATAATTCCTCTCATCTTCATTGTTTTATAATACCTTATTATCATATATTAAAATATTATACATATTAGGGTAATTTCTAGGTTCTTTCTAAGGTATTAATTTAATGTCTCTTTGATAAACAAGTATCTCATGTAAATATTTTTATATTCTTTCTTATAGAAACAGAATATTTAAAGTTACTATGATACTGTTTTTACCTGTGGTTTAAAATTCTTTTAGAAAACCCAGTGTGACAGGGTACATAGATAATGGAAATTTCAGTGTCAAATCTGCTAAACAAATTTATATTTAAATTCTTAATGATCATAGAAGTTTCCGCGCTTTGTTAGCACATGTATCACATTGTGAAACTGACCCTTTTGGGGAGATAAAAACTACTCTGGGAACACCAATTCGATCCTTATCAAATCATTTATCTGATTTGCAAAGGCTGGTTCTCTTCATGTTATTTCCAACTCCTGATATTCTCTAGTTAAATTATCTAGAAAAATATGCATTGATCTAAAAAATTAGGCAAAAACTTTGGGGAACAAAGCCAAAGGTGAAGTGAATAGCAAATAGTTTAAGAGAAATCAAATCTAAGCCTTTCAATTTCCTATTTGGGAATTTGTATTTGGATATAATCAGTATTTATGTGTAAATCCTGTGGATTTGTGATGGGGCTGCGGTAATACATGATGCCTTTACTTAGTAGGCAATGGAAGAAAGGAAAAATTTAAGTAATTATTATAAAACTTATTTCATCTAAATCTATAAGTGACCTTCGATTTTATATAGCCCTTTGTAAGTATAAAGAACAAGAACAGGTTCTGGCTGGTGTGGTTCAGTGGATTGAACACCAGCCTATGAACTGAAAGGTCAGTGTTTCAATTCCCAGTCAGGGCACATGCTTGGGTTGTGGACCAGGTCCCAGCTGGGGGTGTGCAAGAGGCAACCAATTGATGTTTCCCTTGCACATCTCTCCCCTTCTTTCTCCCTCCCTTCCCTTCTCTCTAAAAAATAAATAAAATCTAAAAAACAAAAACAAAAATAGCACAATTCTTATTTTATTTTAAACACATGTAACATGTAGTTATATATATTATAAATATATAGAACAATACATTATATGAATATATTAGTGTACACACAAATATATACAGTGCTATCAAAGTACTAATAGAAGTCATGTGACTTATCCAGTTTCACTGACCTTAGTCAATGGTGTAGCAGCATTAGAACTCAGGCTGGCCTGCTCTTTCTTAGTACAGTGTTCTTACTGACATGCCTCAGGGTACTTCCATAGGGTGATATAAGTTAATAAGTCTTGATTTGTATATCTGGGCCATCAGTATTGGGGAAGAGGAAGGGAAATCATAAAATTAACAGTAAGCACATTTACATCCTATGTGAGCACATTTAACATTTGCTATCTCTCAATTAACTGACTTGTTACTTTGTTACCATGTTTCTAGAACAATACACTGAAAAGATGTTAGAGATAAAAGAGGTTATGGATAATGTACTTGCCAAACAGAAGGCAGAAAGGGATGATTTGGCTAAAAAATACAGGTAAGTGAAAAAATAGGTATGTTAGAATTTTCAGATTTTTCTACTTTTAACTATAATAGTAAGGCCTAGAGTTTCTTAAGAATACTAATGTGCCCTAGCCAGGTGGCTCAGTTGGTTGGAGTGTCATCCTGTACACCAAAAGGTTGTCGGTTCGATCCCCAGTCAGGGCATGTACCTAGATTGAGGGTTCAGTCGTCTGAGTATAGGAGGCAACTGATCAGTGCTACTCTCTGTCTCTGTCTCTGTCTCTCTGTCTCCGTCTGTCTCTCTGTCTGTGTGTGTGTGTCTCTCTCTCACCAATAAACACATCCTTGAGTGAGGATTAAAAAAATAACTGCAAAAAAAAAAACAACAAATGTTGCTTAGGGCCAAAAAATAACTTTTTGAGATTATCTATTACCTTAATGGGAAATTGTACTTCCCAGAAAGATATTTTTCTTCTTTATTACTGGAAATATTCAGAAAATGACATTGTAATATCTTACAAAGTTGTCTACAGCCAAGAATTTTATGAAAACCTTTCTGGTCATGAATAATTTTTTTAAATTATTCAAAATAATATTTTTCTTTAGTAAACTGAAATTTTTTACATTACAGTTTTTCTTTTTGCTATTACAAATGTCTCCTAAGCAGTTTAATAATGTGTATTTTGTTGTTTTGTGTACTTTTAAATTCTTAGGGTTCTTAGAAATTTTATCACGATTAAGTTGTTTATATACCTCTTCTCATCCCTTTTGGAGAAGGATGTTTTATATATATATATTTTTTCTTATTTGGATATTATTTTTATTAGTTTTTCATAGACTTAACTACATATGTCCCCTATTTATTTTCTTGTGATGGGAACTTTTAAGATCTATCAGTAACTTTTAAATATACAATACAGTGTTATTAACTGTAGCCACCATGCTGTGCATTACATCCCCATGACTTATTTATATTATAACTGGATGTTTGTACCTTTTGACCACCTTCACCCATATCACCCATCTCCTACTCCCCAACCCTGGCAACTACCAATCTGTCCTCTCTATCTATGTGGTATACACATATGCCTATATACACATATGTATAAGCACATATATATACACATACTAAATAAATGTTTTAGATTCCATATATAAGTGAAATCATAGGGTATATTTTTTTGTCTGACTTATTTCACTTAGCTCTCAATGCTCTCAAGGTCCATCTGTGTTGTCACAAATGGCAGGATTTCCTTTTTTATGGATGACTTACATTCTACTCCGTGTGTATGTTATATTTTCTTTATCCATTCATCCACTGATGGACACTTGGGTTGTTTCCATGTCTTGACTATTGTTAATAATGCTGCAATGAATATGCAGATAACTATTTTATCCTATTCTTTATTCACATGTAATCTTTCTAATTTTTTATATTTTCGTCTTATCATCATTTGACATCTATTACCTATTCAATTTTTTCTGAACTTATTTTAAAATCAGCTTTTAATTTTTATTTATAAATCTATTTTTATCCCAATTTTGCTTTTCTCTCTAATGAGTATCATAAACTCCTTTCTATACAACCAGTGAGCTTGCAGGACCTACAGATGGGAAATTGACTAAAGAACATTTTCTAGGGGGTTTCAGAAAAGGCTATTTTCAATTTTTCCTTATATCTTTTGGTTAACAAGATAGCTAGAGTTTTGGAAAGTTCTTGATCAGTTAGGATTTCAAGTATAAATCCTTATTAATATTGTTGTAAGACTCAAAACCTTGTAAACCTTTATTCTTTTATCTGAATAGAATACTTTTCTATTCTATTCCAAAGTATTCCAAAGAATACTTTTATTCTTTGTCTAAACTCTGTTTCATATAGTTTTAACTGTATTGTTAATTTCTTTTTCCTCTATTTAGTTTCTTGCATTTTGTGCTAGCAGTTATTTGTTAATTTTATTTCTTCTTGCTGCTTCTTCCACTTACATCTACTGCTTGCTTTAACACCCAGTCTACTTGGTGTTCAGTACCAACAATTCTAAACTGTGATAGAAGAAACAGATATCAATATTACTGCTTCCCTTAAAACAATTGTTCTTAAAGGATGGGCCCAAATGGTTCCTGACACCATTTCAAGGGGTCTGTGAAGTCAAAACTATTTTTATAAGAATATTAAGACATTATTTACCTTTCTTTGCTCTCCTTCTCTCATGAGTATACAATGGAATTTTCTTGAGGCCACATGATGTGTGGTAAGATCATCACTCTAATAGCTAATGGAATGTGTGCTTGGGTATTCTTGTGTTTTAAAATTTTCTAAGTTTTATTTTCTAAAACAATAAATAATGATAGATAAAATCCATATAAACAAAGCTCTTTGGGTTTCTCAGTAATTTTTAAGAGTATAAAGTCCTAAGAACAAAAAGTTTGAGAGCCATGGGAAATAAGGTGTCAAAGGATATCCTGAAGATAACTGTGGAGTAGATGGGTATAACCAGAAGACAGAGGTGTGAATGAGTCATTTCCTCCCACTTAGTCCTCATGCTCTTGAGAGATTTGGTTTTGGGTAGGCCAACAGGATAATGCTTGTGGAGGTAGTCCCTCTGAACTTGAAAATGCCTCAGTACTAGTTCGTAGTACAATTACAGTAATTACCTGTTGAACTGAATCTCTCAGATCTAGCTCAAGTATAATTGTTTACAAAATAATCCCACTCCTACATAGCTAAGGGAACTTGAGTGGAATTTACTCCCAGATTTTACTTCCTGACACACCTTTCCAAACTAAACAGGTAAGTAAACTTCAGACTTAGAGAATAGTGTTTCTGCCCTGGGCAGTGAGACTTGGTTGGTGGGAGCGCCATCCACTGCCCCCAAGGGTCATGGATTAGATTCCCATTGGGGCACACGTATGGGTTGCGGTTCGCTCCCTCATCGGATGGGGCATGTGCAGGAGGCAGCAGAGCACTGTTTCTTTCACTCTCTCTCTCTCCCTTCCTCTCTCTCTAGAGTGTGTGTGTGTAGCCTAGAAGAATATATATAAAAATTTATATATATATAAAGAAGTTACACACACACACACACACGCACGCACGCTCGAGAATGGTGTTCCTCCTTGGCCGACAATTGCTAGCTTCCAAGTAATGGACTAGTAGATACCTAGATAGACTACCCAAGTTTTGTTTCTCTTCTAGGGTTGACTCACAACTGCTAAATAAAAATATCAGTATAAATGCAGATATAAATGTGGATAACCACACTGTTATCTCCTTAAAAAGGCCAACTCACATACCTGAAGAGTCAGTTTCCTCTCAAAGGAGATACATTACAGAGACAGACTCTTGTGTACTTTGAGGTTGTCAAATTTGAATTGAGACAGAGTATCTTTAAAGTGCAAATGACTGTTTTAAAAGTTTTCTACTGTGTTTGTATTTTTGTCTCTTTCTGTTTCTTCGTAAAGGGTATCTATAGAATCATTTAAGCATGGAGTCCTGAGAGAACAACTGGCTAACTTGGCCACAAGACAGAAGAGCCTTTTAGTTGCAGCAAAAACACAGAAAAAAATAAGCCAGAAAATTCAAAACTACAAGAATGTTACATCTGTGTCTGGTCTTAGTTTGAGGAAGCTGTTGCCCAGCTCAGACATCTCTTGTGAAAAGGAGGGCCACGAGCTCACCGGCCTGGACAATGCAGGGCAGCCCCCGTCAGATGCATCTGCTCCTGCCAGCCTTGTTTGTGGGAGCGCACAGGAAACACAGTTGTCTCTGGAGTCCTGGAACGACAGCCAACATACCGGCACTTGTCTAACTTCGGAGGCAGTGAGAAGGGAAGAATTTTCTGAAAATGAGCTTAATTCAGGACAAAATGTCAATGACTATAGCTTGGATGGGTTATCAAAATTCAGATCTTCAGATGGCACTAGGAAGATTAAATTACCATCCCAACCTGTTGCTTTTATTGCTCCCGCAGAATATTCACAGAAAGAAAACGATCTTACAGAAAATACAGCCAAAGGCCATGAGTCCTGTAGTCCTTCAGCACAAACTGGCACATTAAATACTTCAGAAATCACAAGTATGTTTGTCCAAAATGATGCCCATCCATCAACTGTTATTTGTGGTCAGGCTCTTTCCAGTTGTGATCCAAAGAGAGGAAAAAGGAAAACAGCTTCCCAGCAACCGCCTAGTGGGGCATCAGAAACCCTGGCACATCAAGATATTGATGACTTAGGCAGTGATATGGGGCATCAGATGAAACCGTATCTTAAAAAATCAGCCTTTGCTGTTCCACATGGAAATGACAGTCAGAGCACCTCCTGGTCTGGGTCTGGCCGGCAGCATTCTACAAAAAAGCCTTTAAGCCACAGCACAGCTCCTAAAAAGAAATGTATGCAGATAAAGGATCTGATAGTACTAGGAAGAATTAACCCAGGAAATAACATTTTGGAATTCAAAACACAGGTATCTTATTTTTTTCTCTAAAATCATGTGAATTTTATAAGTGAATAAGTTTTGCTGTAACAAAGTGTAGGCATTTACCTCCAATTAGTGAAATGGGGTTTGAATGGAGGGACACAACCATTGTCTTCTATCAAGTGAAACAGTGCTTATAGAATTGCCCTGCAGATTTCAGTCGCAAGCACCTTTGGGGTCTCAGACCAGAATTAATTATATTGCACAAGAAAGGATATAAGAACAACATAAAAGTAATAAGTTGGAGCTGGCTTTGATTCCAGAGTTTTGGGAACTACCAGTGTGCTGTTAAAGCTTACCCTAATAAGAGATAAGTAAAAATTCAACTTCCACAGAAGCTCAATTTGTTTTTACAAACAAAAAGTGAGTTGGAGTTTGTGTACATCTGATTCAGTTAAAACAATATCACATACGCATACAAAGAGAGGAGGGAAAAAATGGTTCTGCTAGAAATGCCAACAAAAGAGGCTTCCTCTCCTCTCTCCCCACATTCACTTTTTGAAAGAGGAATTCTAAGTGGCAAAGATTGCAGGGTCCTGGAACACTTCCTTGCTAATGGACTAGTCCAACAGATACCAATCCTGGCCAGCTGGAACTTAATCTGAACAACCTGTGTTTCCAACCTTTTCCATTTCTGGATAATAAGGCTTTTCCTAGTTAGTAAGCTTTTCGTATAACTTAGGAGCAAAGAAAAAACACCTATATTAAAGCTCCAAACTATAATTTAAAGACCAAATTATTAGCTTCATCTCAGATCCCTTGATATTCCTGTTCGCTTACCTGTTAACCATTTTATTGCCAAGTAATACCTACCTCAGATTAGTCAAAGCAAATCATATTTTATTCAGTAAATCAGTTACATTAACTTGTATTTTCGCAGTTGTGGTTACATCTCTGGGTCAGCTATTGTAGAATTTTAATATAACTTTTCATATTTCAGCTATTTTTCCTTAATAGCTTTATTAAGATATAATTGACACACTATATCCTACACATACTTAAAGTATACGGTTTGACAGATTTTGACATATGTATACACCCATAAAGCCAAGACCACAAGCAAGATAATGAACAATATGCATCAAGCCCCAAAATTTCTTTGTGTCCTTTTGTATACCTTCTTCATCTGCTCGCTTCCCATGTTGCTCTCTACAGTTACTGGTCTGCTTTCTGCCCCTATACATTAGTTTGCATTTCCAAAAATTCTGTATGAGTGGAATTATACCATATGTATTTATTTTTGTCTGGCTTCTTTCCTAGCATAATTATTTGATATATCATTCTTGATATAGCATGTATCAACGATTTATTCTTTATTATTGCTGAGTAGTAGCTCATTGTATGTATATATTAGTTTATCAGTTCATCTGTGGTAGACATTTAGTTTGTTTCAAGTTGTTGGCTATTACAAATAAAGCTACTCTGAACATTGATACACAGTTTTGGTATGACATAGGCTTTCATTTGTCTTGAGTAAATACTTAAGAGTGGAGTGGCTGAATTATATATGGTAAGTGTATATTTAACTTTTTAAGAAACTGCCAAAGTTGTTTGCAACATTTTGTATGAGAGTTGTAATTCCTCAGCATCCTTACTTAGCCAACACTTAGTATGATTAGTGTTTTAACTTCAGCCATGCTAACGTGAAGAGTAGATATATGTATATATGTAATACTATGTGTAGTGGTTTTAATTTGCATTTCATAATTAATTATGGTGAGCATCTTTTCATGTGCTATTTGGCTTCATATTTATTCTTTGATGAAGTATCTGTTCAAATCTTTTGTCCAGTTTTTAGTGGTTTCTTATTTTCTTACTGAGTTTTGAGGATTGTTAAACCATTGTTTTATATATTCTGTCTGGTTTTGGTTGTGTTGGGTGTTAACATAAACTTGGTCCCTGTTACTTCATCATGGCCAGAAGCAGAAGTTTACATATTTCATCTTTTTTTAATACTTTCTTTCTTCAGGAGACTACCCACAAAGCCAGTGTTTTATTGAGTGGTAAAATTAAGGTAGAAAGTGGTCAGATTTATCAAACCCCAGTCACCTGGCTCAAGGACCTTCTAGGAGGTGACAGTTATGTGACCTGGAATTATGCTTGGAGTAAGGTGGGTCATTCCTAAGTTTATCTTTAATTTCATATTAAAATGGAAAGGTGCCATTTTTTATGATAAAACTTCTTTTTTAAAAAGAAATCTGAAAGTTCACCAAGCTTGTTTTTGTCCCACTTCTGCAATATGCTACATGCTTTTCCTCACAACTTCTAGCTGCAAGAATTCCCTAGGGGCAGGGTTGCACAGCTGACTGAGCCTCTCCTTTCTTGCTCTTCACTTAGTCTCAAAAATTTAAATGCCCCAATTTTCTTGACCCCAAGTGATTTCAGGTCTTTGTGATTCCACATAGAAAATTTGGAACCACTGGTATATTAATAATTTATTATAATGTTATCTGTATTCTGACAGAATCTTCTACTAAAGACAGAAGGAACAAGCAAGGGACATAAGACCCACAGAAATTATGGTGCACCCTTATGTTTGAACATAGTCTTATATATGAATCGCTAGCCCTCCTCAAAGAAATATTTCTTTTCATTCAGACTTCCCAGACTTAGGAGCCTCCCTCACAGTCTGTCTTCCGACTTAGAAACCCAGCCTAACCACCAGTCTGAGAGCTATTAATGACTGACCCCCTTGAGGCCCAATGTTCAGCCACCTCCGGATGTCTATGGCACCACTTAAGGGAAGTCTTGAAATGAATCACCCAGGAAAGTGTGAATAATTGGACATTTACCATTAGTGTTTCACAGATTTGAAGATGTCTTTGGCCACTGCTAGCTATTATAGTAAGCCTCAGTCCAGCATGAATAGAAGGCACAGCTTCCTCTCTGCTTTGTTGCCCACTCTAGCTCTACCCACCCTTTCCCCTAACCCCTGCCCTGGGTCTGTATCCTTAACCTCTGCATTCTGGTCTCCTACACCTTTGCGGCAGGTGCTTCCAGAACTGTATATCAATTCCTTCACTTATATCAGCACATTTTGAATTTCTCTCTGCTTTATAGTCTGTCCTTCTTCTTCCTCCTAAAGTTTTTTTCCCCCCAACCCTTGGAATCAGCAAACCATCTGCTTTCAATTCACCCTGCCCAATCCTTTCTATGGATTCATAAATCATATTTGCATATTAGTAATTACAACTTAACCCATGGAAATACCTTTTTTTACAAAGTTTCCTAAACTTATGATAGATTATATCATTTTGCTGAAACTTAATTTATGCTCACAGTATGAATATGGTACTGACTGCTATAGCTTAGATTCTTTTGAAATTGACATGCCTGTGTTACAGTGTGCCTAGTGGTGACTCAAATCTCCCACTCTTTTTCTGTACTGGAACTACTGCATTTCCTCCTTTTGAATAGCTGGTTGTGACATCATTTAGCCCTTACTCTGTACCTCATTTACATATCACATTGCTTCTGATCTTATCTCATCAGCCATGTCAATTAGAGTTGTATTGTTTAATACTTAAATGATAATGAAGCCAAATGCAAATGTGGGCACCAATATTAGGCCAATTCTTGGATATAAGATATTCATACAAATTATCTGAGAAGTATTATATTTTTAAAAAACTATCCTAAAAACAGAAACAGTTTTTAAAGTTTTCTATAGGCCATACAGGTACTTCTAGTAAATACTCCAAGCTGAGAAACACTACCCCAGTGAGTTTCTTAATATAAAGAGTTTACAAGATTTAAAAGCCTCTTTTAAAATTTACCACAGAAACTGCCTGTACATCTTCTTGTCTTGGAGTAACTCCTGAATTCAGCCACTTCTTGATGAAAGGAGCTTTTGTTAAAGCTCCTTTACATTGCTAAACTTGAACATTTCAACTGACTAGTTTTAACAATGCCGGTGGGGCTATAGGTCCAGGAATGGTTGGTTGTCAGGCAAGAAATGCCAAAAAAGTAGGTCTTGTCCTGCATAAGACAGAACCACAGAGCCATTAGACACAGAGATGACTCATACTTCCCACCCAAGCAGCTGGTCCTGATGTTTATTCCCATTGGGCGTCACTGTTTGCTGTCACTGACAGCCTCCTAAGCATCATCCTGATGTGGCAGAGTGATCTCTCTGTGGGAGACAGGAGACCATGCTTGTTCCTGATACCACTCTTGATAAATTACATGATGTGGGCAACAGATTCCAACGCTGCCTACACATTAGAATCATTAGAAGCTTTTTAAAGCAACCAATGCCTAGTAGACTCCAGCTCCGTAGTTTCTGATCTAAGGGTCTGGGTTAAAACTCAGGTGGTAGTATTTTTTAAAAACTTTCCAGGTAATTATAATGTGCATCCTGGAATGAGAATAACTCATTCTTAGTCAAATCATTTTAACTTTACTGAATCTATTTTCTTATGTATACAATATGTAGTAGTGCTAAATGGTTTCTAAAGACCTTTCCTACTTAGAGATGCTAGGACTTGCATAGCACTGTGTGGTTCATAAAATTCTTCTATGTATATTCTTTCACAAAAACCACATGATGTCACAAAGTCAACTATAATCTTTATTTACAGATGTGAAACGAGGGTTGCAGGCAGTTAAGTGAGCTGATTGGCCTCAAGGCCAGTATGTACCAGAACCAGGACTAAAACCTGAGCTTCTGATCCCCTATCTACTATTTTTTACTTTTACAACAATCACACACAAGAAAGGCCACTTCCTTTCATTGGAAACAGGTTGCCCTAAACTCAAAACACACAGAATCCTTTAGCTGCCTCTATGAATTTCTGCAAAGCGTTATTCTTGTGCAGCAAAAATTGCCCACTTCCACACGAAAAATGCCTTTCTGTGATGTGATAGCAATAAGAAAATCATAAGAAAGGAGATGACAGTTCATTTTTGTAAATACCCAGAACTAGATTTATGCAGATAAAAAGAAGACTGCCATTTTGTGCAGTGACTCAAGGAGCACTTATAGATCTCGTGTGTAAACATACTTCCCATCCTAATGCTTTCCTGTATGAATTTCTACCCTTATACATTTACTCCTTTGGATATAGTATTGACTTTTCTTTATGGTTTTCCCTCACCTTACACATGTCCTAAAAAAATTTCTCCCACCACCATGATTAGGAATATCAAGATACGGAAAAAAAGTAAATACATTAATTAAAAAAAAAAAGATACGGAAAATTTGGAGTGGGAATGTAGAAAGTGATGTAAATTGTTGATCTGGACAGCCAGCCTCATTCAGTCAATTAATTACACTCCCAATGTGTTGTAACTTAAACTTCTTATGAGCCCAACTTTGACTCAAAGGAGATGGTTGGAGATATGGGCCCTTTTGAAATACAACTATCCAGAATGTATGAACCCTGAAGACATAAATAAAGTGAAAGGCCTACTGCCCTTCTCTTGTCTCTAACTGCATAGGGTGTCTAGGGGAAGTAGAAATGGGAAGGCTCTAGGCTGGTTGGAAGAAGGTGAGTAGTAGAAAGATACCTATTATTTCCCCAGGATCAGCTCTTCCAAGGCAGTTACTACATTTTGATGCTACTTTTTACCTTGTCATCTGAATTCCTTGAGAAGTATTTTAATTTTCTTAGCCCAAATGGGTTTTTATGTTGCAACAAACTTAAATGAAGTTTGCCTTTTTTGCTCTCCCTAAGATGAAAAACAATCATCCTTTCCTTTTCCTCTCAAAGTAGTGAAAATTTGTTGACTTGCTCCTTAAAATTTGAAATGGAATTTAAAAAGTCATTTATCATCCATGAACAAGTTCTTATTAGTGAATACCAATAACTGGTTTTTCTAAAGACATGAAAAATGGACTGGTACTTTCAAATAAAATGGAGTCCCGGCAAGAAAACAAATTCTTAGACACCTCTTTAGTATTCAAAGGAAGGTTGTGTTTTATATTATTTTCTTGATGCATGTTGGTACATAAGGTATAGAGAAACATTTATTACTGTAATTAATTACAACTGATACTGAATTTCTTCAGAGACCTAACCAAGATAAAGCTAAATGATCATTTTACTTGGTGCATTCGCTAGATTTCCAGAATAGTGCCTGGCTGAATCATCCATCTACCCAAAGTGTGCACACATACACATACCCCACACCCTTCTTCTTCCCTAAATATGATATTAAGGATTCAGCATGGTCTGATTTCTGAGGAATAATGGATCTTCTGCTATAAGAGCTTCAGGGAAAGCCTCGGTGGCCTCAGGGTGAAGGCACCCCTATAGTTTTACCTTTCAAAAACACAAGAATACAACCACCTACAGGTTTCTTCACAGACTACATCTTACTCTGAACTACAATACTCTTACTTGTCCTCATCTGGGGGAAGGTGGCATCCTATCTGTCTTAGCAGGCATATGAGCTAAATTTGCGTCTGATGATATTTAGTCCAGGAATCAGACTTTGAGTCATAGGCAGATGTGAGGACTGTTCGCCCGTATGCTTTATCAGTTTTTTGTAGTATAGCAAATACATAAACCAGTAACATAGTCGTTCATTATCATTATCAAGTATTATATACTGTATATAATTGTATGTGATATACTTTTATACGACTGGCAGTGCAGTATGTCTGTTTACACCAGCATCACCACAAACATGTGAGCGATGTGTTGTGTTGTTATGTTAAGATGGGATGGTGCCCTTATGCTTTAGCCAATGGGAGCACAAGCACTATTATGAGACAGACCATTTTCAGAAGAGACTTAGTGCCTGTTCGTTTAGAGATCTATTCATTACCACCTTTGTTCAATAAATCACTTCTGTCTTGTGGAAAATGGATTGTTAACTCAGTGGATTTTCTTTTCTTTTTTTTTTAATTAAAAAAAATCCTCACCTGAGAATATGTTTACTGATTTTAGAGAGAGAGGAAGAGAGAGAGAGAGAGACAGAAAAAGAGAAAGAAAAAGAAACATAGATGTGAGAGAGAAATATCAACAGGTTGCCTCCTGTACACACCCTGACTGGGAGAGTGAACCTGCAACCTAGGTATGTGCCCTGACTGCGGATCAAACCTGCAACCTTTTGGTGCATGGGATGATGCTCCAGCCAACTGAGCCACCCAGCCAGGGCTCAGTGGATTTTCTTAAAGTTGTGTTCTTTTTGTGTCTGGATTACCCCAGTTGTATGTTTAAGGTCTCTAAGGCCACTGAGGTGCAATTTTACCACCTTATGTTACCTAGCACTAAGTGATAAAAATGTACTTTAAATCTGAGATATAGGTGAAAACATACCAAGCCTGCACATTGATGAGTACTGCATATTGTCAGAGCATAGCATGAACAGAATCCATTGTTTCTAGTTGTTAGTTGTTTGGAGAACTGACAGATGGCATTCAGGGGCTTCGCCTCTCCTTCTTCCAATGGTAAGCAAGGGGGTTTAGCTCACTGCATAGGCCAGGTCTGTTTCATTTCCCTTACCAGTCTTTGGTCATGGAATTGAGCCCAAAGTGTGCCTAACCCTTTCCTATCTCCCAGGCCTTTCTCGCTCTGTTAAATAATAAGCATTTACTGAGGATGTGCTAGACAGTATGCCAAATGCTTTTCATATGTTTTCTCTTTTATTCCTCAGAACAACTTAATAAGGTGGAGGTACTTGGTTTACAGATATGCAAACTGAGACTCAGAGAATTTAAAAATCTTGCTTAAGAGCTGGGACTTCAGAGTTGTTTTCCCCAGTATTGTCAGGCACTATGTGAAGTGCTAGAGTATAAAAATGACACAGATCCTGTCTTCAAGGAGTTTATAGTTTAATGGAATCAGATACATTAACACATAATTTCATTTAAATGTGAGAAGTACCTTGACAGAAATTTGAGGGCAGAGTTATGACAGCCTAGAGAAGGGTCATTACTTGAGCTTAAAGGTTACAGGAAGGCATTTTGGAGGGATCTTCAAGTTGAGAATTGGTGGTTTAAAAACAGTGAACCTAGCTTCTGGGGGTATATTATCATACTCGTATAGAACTAAGAGTGGAGAACCCAAAGACACTCAGGCCCAGAACATTTCTGGCAGGTGTTTGCCAATCCATTCATGTATAAATATTTCTAAGCTCTAATCTTTTGGTCTGATAAACAATAGCTAAGTTCACAAACACACCAAAACAAAAAACTGGGAATATATAGACCCAAAATGTTTATTAACCTGACCAGGTGAATATCTGATTTCTTGAATAGTACCATTACTTTTGTGGCTTAATTTTATTAATGCAACATAATTTTTTTAATTATAAAATTTTAAAATTTTTTTAAAAATGTGCTGAATGAATGGTTTTTGAATAAGTGAATGGATGAGAGAATTAATGATATACAACAGAGATCAACAAATTTTTCCTGTGAAGGACAAGATATTAAATGTGTTAGTCTTCATGGGCATAGTCTCTGTTGCAACTACTTGGTCCTGTTGTAGCACAAAAGCAGCCATAGATGTAATCAAATGGGTGTCATTGTGCTCTAATAAAACTTTATTTACAAAAAACGTGGCAGTTTACCAATCCATAATATACAACAGTTAATACTTGACCAAAGTTACAATTTGCTCCTTCTAAAATGTATGGTTTTTTAAATTCTTTGCTTAATTATACACAGGTAACATATCTGGGGAAGGAACTTTTAAAGTATGTTTCAGAGGAAGTACCCATACCTCCAGAACCAAACTTAGTACCTCAGCAACATCAACCTTGTCTTCCAGGTATGTGCACACCCACACCCATTTCTTAGTTATGGGGAAAATACAAACACTTTTTTTTTGTCTTCTTTTTTCCAGTGAAATTCGCATAACATTCAAATAACCATTTTAAAGTGAACGGGTCAGGGGCATGTCGTGCATTCACAGTGTTGTACAGCCACCACATCTGTGTAGTTCTAAAATACTTTTATCACCCCAAAAAGAGATCCCACACCCATTCAGCAGTTACTCTCCATTCTCCACTCCCCCCAGTCCCTGGGACTTACTAGTCTGCTTTCTGTCTGTATGGATTTGTCTCTTCTGAAGGTATCATAAAATGGAATCATACAGTATACAGGATGGGGCGAAAGTGAGTTTATAGTTGTGAGTATACAAAACAGTTTATTATTATTTATTTTATATATATTATTATTATATAATATATATATTATTTATTTATTATATTATTTTCCATATGAACTGTAAACCTACTTTTGCCCCATCTCTATAACCTTTTGTGCCTGGCATCTTTCTCTTAGCATAATGCTTTCAAAGATCACCTACCTTGTAACATCTATCATTATTTTATTCCTTTTTATAGTTGAATGATATCCCATTGTACATATATACCACAATTTGTTCATTCATCCATCCTTTGATGGACATTTGGGTGGTTCCACTTTTTTGCTATTGCTATGAACACATGTATACACGTATTTATTTGGGTATATGTTTTCAATTATTTGGGTTATATACCTAGCAGTGGAATTGTTGTATCATATAGCAATTATATATATATATATATATATATATATATATATATATATATATATATATATTACTCTTTGTGGAACAGCCAAACTGTTTCCTGCAGCAACTGAAACATTTTTACATTCCCACCAGCAGTGTACAAGTCTTCAATTTCGCCATGTCTTCACCAACACTTGTTATTATCTGTTTGTGTACAGCACTCCATTTCTCACTACAGTTGATTTAGGAGAATTTAAGAAATGATACCCTCCACTCCTAATTTCTTTCTCTGAATATATGCTGTACTTACTTTGGGAAGATTTTTTTAAGTGTCATATAAAAGGGAAAAAATGGTATTTTTCCTTTCTGGAAACAATTCTGTTAGCTTTCCATATTTTCTAAAAACATACTAAAATAAATCTTTGCTTATTAGTATAAGCAAATACAACTTACCTGATGAAATCTTAGCCTGCAAAAACTGAAAAGAATGTAGTCTTCACTAAATAGCAGCGGATTTTGAAATGGCCCTAAAAGGGCAGCACACATTTTTGGGAAGCAGACATAACTCATGTCAGGTTACCCTTCTCCCCTGTAGCAGCCCCTCTCCTCCCCGCCAGGTCCCCTGTCTCAGACTAGTTGGAAACAGTATAGGTAGAGAGGAGAAACAAAATAGAAAATAATACTGTGATAACCGGAGTCATGAACCAAATGGATTACTCCCACCAAGCCCCTAACCAGGATGCTCCAGGATTTTTCCCTTCCTTACAACAAACCCCAATAATTCAAAGTATTTTTCTCTCCAAACTTGATACCTAATCCACTGTAACCTCTTAGTGCCCTCCTTTTTCTCCAACACTAGCTTAAGAATAGGATACATTTTCCCCCGTTTTTGAAGACAGCCTCAAAGGTGCTTTTTATCATTTGGGGGAAACAGATCTGGTAAAACAACAATTGCAGTGAAGTTAAAGGGCTTAACAAACTGAAAGTAGTTTTTGTAGTAATTACGGTCTTTGGTTCCTAATCCTAACTGCAGATCTATCTAATCAAATCTTGGAGTGGGGTCCAGGAATCTAAATTTTTTATTAGTCATTACCTGAGAATGTGTTTATTGATTTTAGAGAAAGAGGACAGGGGGGAGAGAGAGTGAGAGAGAGAGAGAGAGACATTGATGTGAAAGAAAAAATAATTGATAGGTAGCCTCTGTATGCACCCCAACCAGGGATCAAACCCACAACCTTTTGATGTATGGGACAACACTCTTAACAAACTGAGCCACCAGACCAGGGCTAGGAACCTGAATTTTAAAAGTGATTCTTACTCTAAACTTACTACTCTGAAGGACTAGTAGAATCTTATTCTTATGCAGATAACTGCTTGAAAACTTGGTACATTCAGCCCTTCATTTTGATTCCAAAAGCACACCTGCTCTAGTGCCCACAGGATCGATCCTCTGTCTCTCCCTCACCCTCCCTCCCACTCCTTCTCTCTCTCTCTCTCACACACACACACACACACACGCGCGCACGCACACGCAAGCACACACACACGCATGCACACACAAGCATATACACACAAACACACTTGAAGCAAAGCTAAGCAAACTCTTTCTCCTCCTAGATTCTAACCTCAAAGTAGAAATATAGGTTCTTCCTTATATCACAAAGGTTCTCTGCTTCTCAGATTTTCTAGTGCTAGGCATGAATTTCCAACCCTGGTCATGCATCTCCTTCCTCACAGGGACCACAGTTCCCTGCTAAGTGAACATGAAAGAAAAAAATATCTTCTCAACTGCTGTTTCTGTCACAGACACTATGAACAGTTTCTTTTTATTAAGTCCCGAATTATCTTCCCTTTAGATATTTCAAAAATATTAATGTTAATTTGATAACCGTGAGGGTGCCAGTATAGCCAACCCACTTCTTGCTACTTTGATCTAGGACTAGACATCCACAGGCAGGTCCCTCCTGACATTCTGTAGGCACTGTTGGAGTTTTGTTTGAACCTTCTAGATTTAGGATTCTTCTGTACCTGGTTTTGTGGTATCTTACAGAAATCCAAAGACATGGGAAGTTAGAAAAATGTAAACTTTCTAATCCTATTATAAGTAAAGCATTTAGGAGAAACTTTTTCCCTTTTCTGCATATTAGGAAGTGCTCACGGAAGTTGTAGAAGGAAAGATAAATCAACGCAGGTTTCATAAGCCTACTTCAGATCATGAGTGTAATTTGTTCTTACACTTTTGATGATCACACAGTTCAGAATATAGTTTTTTCGGACTAAGGGTACCATCCATCCCGGTTTGACCTGGGCAGTCCTTAATCCAACAAAATTATTAGTAGCATACCCTTTCACTTTCAGGCATGCCTTATTTAGATGATTCCAAAGAGGAACCAAGCAAATAGGTGTTGGAAAAAGAAAAATTTGGATAAGGTGTTTTAAAAAATGAGAGAAACTTTTAAATTTTGTTTATTTGTATAAGAAGTGTATAGATTCTAACACTTCTGCAAAGAGATGTACAAATCTTATGCATATCATTCTACATTATAAATAATTGCTGGTTACCTAATTTTAATCCCCTGATAGACTGAGAAAAATCTTTGAATTTAGAGAGACTTTTATATGTCCTTGCTTCCTATTATATTCCCCAGTGCCTGGCACACAGTAACTCCTCAGTAAATGCTCACTGAACAATGTTCATTGAATGAACGAATGCATGCATGAATATGATTCAAAGGACTGCTATTTTAAAACTGGATTTACTTGTGATTGACTATTTTTTTCTTTTTTATTAAATTTATTGGAATGTCATTGGTTAATAAAATTATATAGGTTCCACGTGTACAATTCTGTAATACATCATCTGTATATTGTATTGTGTGTTCACCACCCCAAGTCAGGTCTCCTTCTATCCCCATTTTTGACTGTCTTAATACGTGGACATGACTAGATCTCACAGGCTATAGTGGAATTTCTGGTAAAGAAATCAACAAATGGTCAATGGGATTTAGATTAATTAATATATCTCCTTTATCAGAATTTTCTGCATCTAGTTGTGAGATATAAGAGTGATGGACCCTCACATTTTCTGAACCAGAAATTCAAGAGAACTATTTCTCCCTCTCACTTTTCCTTCCCCTTCTTATGAAATTATAAAGGAATCGGTTTAGCTTTGTTAACCAACATTTCCTAAACTTCTTTAATCAGATAATATATATTGCTATTTTGTGGGACAAATAGCAGCAACTTCAATACCTACTTTTGGATTCATGGGATCAAGAAAATCCTGAGTCATCAAGATAAGTGATAAACGTTTTTAACCTTGCCATTTAAAGATTAAGAGTCTTCTCTTACTCAGAAATGATGGAAGAGTTTTATTCTGAGTCCCACGCAAAAAAACTAGTTAAATCTGTAACTCAAGTCAGTGTATCAATGGGCTCAAGTGTTAAAATGTGATATTAACAAATTCGAGGATATATGTTGTTTCCAACTAATGATTTTAAACATACAGACACCAGCCTTTAAAAATTAAATCCTGTTGATGAAACCCCTGAAGCATCTATTTCTAAAGTCCTTTTAAGCTTTAAAGTGGAATGAGTCTATAGTGTATTTTTCTTCGAAATTTTACAACTTCATCCCAAGTCTCTCTCCTCTCTGCCTAGTTGGTGGTAGTTCCTATTCTGTGTTATTGAGGGAATCTTCACTGATGTTTCAGTACAATTTGGAAGGAAAAAAGATAAACAGTCCCAAACTTCTGCATAATTTATGATCACTGTGTATAGACACATTGATATATTTTTCACAAAAATTAAAAAAAATATTCTGTTAAGCTAGATTACATTTTAATATTTGCCTGGAAAACCAATTTTATATATTTTTGTCCCCTGTCACTATAGTACCAAGACACTTAGAGCACATTAAAGTAAACATATTCATCTAAGCAAAAAATGAGAGAGAGAGAGAGAGAGAGAGAGAGAGAGAGAGAAACATCTTCCTGAAATGTTTCTTTTCCCAAGTCATCATTTAATGCACACTAATTAGAGAATTTTCTTCTTGGGGACCTAACACCATTTGTTCATTTGAAAATGGGACATGCTTTTTCAGAAAAAAAAACAACAGCAAAAAAAGATACTTTTGTTTTTAATAAAGATGGTTCTTAACTTACTGATAATATGTTGTAAATAAGTGACTTTAAAGAGTTTTCATCATTTCAGTGCTGTTATTGTGCTTCATTTCTCTGTAAGAGTATGTGTAATAGAGCACAAACATTCACAGGT